TGGAAGAGTTTGCTCCGAACGTCGGATGTTGGGCCAACTCCACGAGAAGATGTGGGTTTGCACCACATAGCTTGCGCCACACAGCTTTCATGTAATTTGCACGTAGATTTCACCATACCGTAGAGCTTGCGACAATGTGGGTGCGCACTGCGTAGCTTGCACCACGCAGCTTCCGCCACATCTTTTGCATATCGTGAGCACGCCTCAGGGGAAACCGCACCGGAACCAAACCAAACCAACTCATGAGGACCATTTGGGCGAAACCGAGGCAAGTCGTGAGGATAGCTGAAGTGAAACTGTGCCGACACCAAACCGAAACGAGCAAATTGTTTCAACCTCTCAGGCGAAACCAGCCCCAGACCAGGCCAAGCCAGGGGCCCGGGCGCCTGGCCAAACTAAAACCAAGCCAGGCCAAACCAGGGGCCAAACTAAGCACATTTCTAAGGACATCTTAAACGAAACGCCCCAAAGCAGGCTCCATCCACTCACCCTGATAGAATCAAATTTTCTCTTGCACGGGGTGTCCAGAGCTCCGACTATTGTATTTCGGCACGCACGCACAGCACCAGCACCGCCCTCTCCCAGGCAACCCAGCCTTGAGATTTCAAACGCCCCTCGGAAGCCAAAAAGTGGCGATGAGCAACTTATTGATTTTCCTTCGGTTTTGGATGTGTTCGGGGCTTCTTGTGGGGGTCCCGAGGGTGCTCCGAAAGCACTCAGGGCCATCTTGTGACCCCCTTGGGGCCTCTTGGCATGATGGGAACCACCCTCAACCGTCTTGAGCTCTCTTGAGCCATCTTGGGAGGCCATCTCGGAGCACCTCCTCCTCGCTCCTCCTCTACTCCGTAGCCATTTTGGCTCAAGTAACACATTTCTCGAGGTGGCGCAGGGCCGTGCCGCTCGAGGATCACAGAGGCCTGCCCAGGCAGATCCCAGGGCATCTCTGCATCGTACAGCAACGCTCTTTTGGTGTTTGTTGGTCGTCTTGGGTTGGTCAGTGGGCATCTTGTGTTCGTGTGTAGCGGGAAAGGCGGGAAAAAGGCGCGGGTGAGCAATTCGGGGGGGTGCGATGCTCAGATGGCGGTCGCAACGAGGCAGTGAGGACGTCGGCCTTGTAATCATCTGGAAATTGTATTGGCCTCGCCAGACAACGAACCAGCGTTATGACCTACTCTCGCGTAGTCGCGGTGGCTGATCATTGCGCGCGCTGCACTTCGAAGAAGCCAAAAGGTGGATGAGGGGAAGGGGGAATCTGATAATGATGATGATTGTGGTGGTGGTGGTGATGATGCTGCTGCTGCTGCTGCTGATGATGATGATGATGATGATGACGATGGTGCTGCTCCTCATGGTGTTGATGACGATGAGGTGAATGAAGATGAGGATGATGATGAGGATACTGATGCTGATGATGAGGATGATGCTGATGCTGATGCCGGTGTTGATGCTGATGGTGATGATACTGACGATGCTGCTGCTGATGGTGATGCTTGCGATAATTATGATGCGTCTGCTGCTGATGAAGATGATGCTGACTTTGATTAGGATGGCTATGCTGATGATGATGATGACGACGATGATGATGATGATGATGCCGACGACGCCGGCGACGATGGGACCACGAATATGATGATAACGATGATGATGATGCTGACGATGCTGCTGATGCTGCTGATGCTGATGATGATGCGGATGGTGATGTTGTTGTTGACGATGATGATGGCGATTGTGATGCTGGTTATTATGGTGGTGGTGATGATGATGGTGATGGTGATGGTGTTGGTGATGATGATGCTGATGATGGTAACGACGATGATGATGCTGCTGCTACTGATGATGATGATGATGATGATGATGATGATGATGATGATGATGATGATGATGATGATGATGATGATGATGATGATGATGATGAGGCTGCTGATGATGGATGATGGTGATGATGCTGCTGACGATGATGATGATGATGATGATGATGATGATGATGATGATGATGATGATGATGATGATGATGATGATGATGATGAGGATGATGATGATGATGATGATGATGATGATGATGATGATGATGATGATGATGATGATGATGATGATGATGATGAGAGGAGGAGGAGGAGGAGGAGGAGGAGGAGGAGGAGGATGAGGAGGGTGGTGGTGCTGGTGATGAGGAGGAGACGGAGGAGGAGGAGGAGGAGGAGGAGGAGGAGGAGGAGGAAGAGGACAAGGAGGAGGGAGAGGAGGAAGAGGAGGATGAGGAGGAGGACGAGGAGGATTGGAAAAGGGACAAGACCAGTGAAAACCCAAGAGGCATCATTGATGTTGGAACAAGCCCTCCCTTCAAGTTCCCTCTTCCTAGGACTCTGTCAACGGTTCATTTCCACAGGGAACGGCCTCGTTGGAAGACAACCGTTTGAGGACCCTGAATCATGCCAAAACATTGTTGTCGGGATTCCAGCGCCACGGATCAACCTGACAGTTGCGTCTTGACGATCTTGAGTCGTGCCAGAACACCATTCTTGGGAATCCAACACCGCGAATAAACGTAACTGTTGACCCTCATAGTTAAATCCTGAGTCCTTTCGGGATACCTGGTACGGTGATCATGGGGATCCGTGAAACACCTTGTATTTTGTACAAGCGAATGTGCGCAGCGCTAAGGCGAGAACCACATTTTGAAAAGAAAATGCCCTCAGTATCGGCGCTAAGGCGAGAGCCACATTTTGAAAACCACCCGCCCTCAATCCGTGAAACCTTTTCATGTTTTAAAGCGAAACGTGCGCGGCACCAAGGCGAGAGCCACATTTTGAAAACCACCCGGCCTGATCCCGTGAAACCCTTACAAATTTCTAAAACGAATGTGCGCGGCGCCAAGGCGAGATCCATATTTCGAAAGCGACCCGCCTTCCATCTGTGAAGCTTTTGTCACTTTTTATGCTTCAGGGTCTTCAATGGTGAGGAAGTCTCCGGCGAAACGTCCGGACCGGCCCAAAAACTGGCCTCGGGGTGCGACAGGGAGAAGTTCTTTTTAAGGAAAAGGAATGGAGGAGGCGGGAGAGGAGGAGGAGGAGAAGGAGGAGGAGGAGGAGGAGGAGGAGGAGAGGAGAGGAGGAGAGGAGGAGAAGCAGGAGGGCAGGAGGGGCAGGAGGAGGAGGAGGAGGAGGAGGAGGAGGAGGAGGAGGAGGAGAGGCAAGACGGGCAGGAGGGGCAGGAGGAGGAGGAGGAGGAGGAGGAGGAGGAAAAGGAGGAGGAGGAGCAGGAGGAGGAGGAGGAGGAGGACCAGTGTAAACCCAAGAGTCGCCAATGATGTTGGAATAAACCCTTCCCCCAAGCTCCCTCTTCATATGCCCATACTACGCCGTTACAAAAGTTCGTCACGTTTCATGAGAGCTTGAAGGTGGCATGGGTTTCGTGTCTTCCTTCCGCGTGAGCACGCGGGCAGAGGCTGACCACTGCCCCGGCAGCGCCGAGCTGGCCCCCCCTTCCCCCCTAGAATCCTAGCGGACTGAGTCAAGAGCGGTCGGATCAAAGATCCGGGATTTCTAAAAATGGGATTTCATCCCTTACTATAATAGTATAGATTTTAAACGGGACATTTTGAAATCCCCACGTAAATTCACACGGTTCTAGAAATCCCACCGGGGCGGGATTTGTCTTTGCTTATGCAAGATGATCGACTTTTATGTTATGACGAAACTTTTGTAATGCCGATGTATAACGGTTCACTTCCACAGAGGGGCCTGCCTCGTTGGAGGACAACCGTTTGAAGACCCTGAAGCATGCCAAACCATTATTCTCGGTCTTCCAACGCCACGGATGAACGAACCTGACTGTTGCGTCTTGACGATCCTGAATCGTGCCAGAGCGCCATTCCTGGGACCAAATCGGGAATCTCTCCAAAGCACCATTTCTGGTAGGTCGATCATGGGAAGCCGTGGAACTTTTTTCAAGTTTGTACCAAGAATGTGCGCGGCGCTTCGGCGATAACCACATGTTGAAAGGGAACCGCCCTCAATCCGTAAAGCTCTTGCGAATTTGGAATACGAATGTGCGCGGTGCCAAGGCGAGAGCCACATTTTGAAAACGATTCGCCCTCAATCAGTGAAACTCTTGCAAATGTTTAAAACGAATGTGCGCGGCGCTAAGGCGAGAGCCACATATTGAAAAGGAACCGCTTTCAATCCGCGAAACTCCTGCAAAGTTGAAAAACGAATGTGCGCGGCGCTCAGGCGAGAGCCACATTTTGAAAACCACCCGCCCTGAGTCCGTGAAACTCTTGCAAGTTCTGGAAACGAGTATGCGCGGCGCTAAGGCGACAGCCACATTTTGAATACGACCCGCCCTCCATCTGTGAGTCAGTTGCCAATTTTTTAGCTTCAGGGTCATACATGGTGCGGAAGCCTCAGGCGAAACGCCCAGCCCGCCCTAAAAACTTGCCTCGGGGTGCAACAGGGATGAGTTGTTTATAAGGAGAAGGAAAGGAGGAGGAGGAGGAGGAGGAGGAGGAGGAGGAGGAGGTGGAAGGAGGGAGGAGGAGGAGGAGGAGGAGGAGGAGGAGGAGGAGGAGGAGGAGAGGAGGAGAGGAGGAGGAGGAGGAGGAGGAGGAGAGGAGGGAGGAGGAGGAGGAGGAGGAGGAGGAGGAGGAGGAGGAGGAGGAGGAGGAGGAGGAGGAGGAGGAGGCGAGCTGTCTGGCGAGGCTGGCCCCCTCGCTGCATCTGCCTCCCTCCCTTGTGCAGGTTCGAGGGTCGAGGACCGAAGCACCGGGCGCTTTTGGCCGCTTCGGGGCCTCCCCAGGCTGCTGGCGGATGGCCTCTGGGGGCCTCCAGAGTCCAGTTTTCCAGGGCTCATTTCGATTCCTCCAATTCGATTCGATTCGATGTCGATGGCCTCCGATTCCGATTCGATTCGGCTTCGAATTCCGATTTGGATTCCGATTCCTCAATGGAGGCCTGCTATATTGCCGATTTCCGCCGATTCGACTTCTCCCGACTTGGCTGCCGATTTCCGCCGATTCGATTGATTTCGTTTGCAGATCCGACTTATCGATTCGATTCTGGGCTCCCCTGGCTTTCGGGCCCTGGGGCACTCGGAGAAGGATCCAGGATCAAAGTTTGGCCCCGGGGAAGCGGTCGAGGGGCCTGGCCACGGATGGGCAAAGATGGGCAAAAGCAAGTCCGCCAGAGCTCTCGTTGTCATCATGCTTCCCCAAGTCTTCAATCTCGTCAGAGCAGGCCCGGCCCCCGCTGGGACAGGCTAAAGGGGGCGCTCCCGGATGGCACCTCGGTGGGATCGGGAGGTGCAGGTCAGCCGGTGGGGCCAAGGCTTCCTCAGTGAGAGTGGGGCTGCTTCTTCTTGTCCTTAGCTGTTGCTCTTGCCGAGGAGTCGCTGTGGTGGCTCCGCCGGTTCGAGACTTCCTTCGGCCTTGAGTCGGTGGAGGCGCTGCTCGCTAACGCGTCGGCCAACTACCAAGCCAACTTGGTGGTGCTCCTGCTGCCGGTCCCAGCATCGCTCAGGAGGGGGAAAAAACACACAGACACAATCAATCGTCGACCCCCAGGAAATATGGGAAAATATGGGAAGTGGGGGGGAAGACGAAAATCCAGAAAGTATTGGAAAATATGGGGGATCTTGGGATTTGTGTATATTTATTTGTGTGTCCCTGGGCCCCTTCATTCGTTTGGAATAAACGCCCTGGTAGTCAGTGCGATCGTGGTTACTGCTGTCTGCCAGCCCAGCTTCGAGCTACCCGAAGAGGCCTGACCACCATTTCGTAATCTCTGTGGGCGGTCCGCGAAGGACCCCTGCCCCGCCAACCGCCATCTGGGAGTATGAAATGGTGGTTAGGAGTTTGGGGCGAATGCTGTATAGTTTTCAAACTGCTTCAGCACACCGGCTCAACCACCAACGCTCAAGCCGCCATTCCTGGAATGCGGAGTTGCCTCTATTCCTGATCACCTTGGCGCCGCTGCCGCAGCTTTCGCATTGCTGCTGCTTTCAAGGCCCAGCGGGCCCTGCACACCAGACCTACCCCGCAGCTCAGAATCAGTGCCACCAGAGTGGGACCGTCAGAGGCGTGGAGGCCTGACGGCCACAAGGAGTCACAACGACATCGAACAGGCAGGCACAGAGAAACTAAGCGAGCGCAATGCGCATTCACCACAGCAATCGATAATATGCCGATCACAGACTTTGGGCACCCCTCTCCTTCCTCTACTGCGTCCTCCTCCTCCCCCTCCTCCTTTTCACCCTCGTCTGCCCCCCCAGCCATGCCTATGCTTTCTATCCCCAGACATCTGGCATCTCATTTTTTCTGGTCACGGGCTCCTGGACCCCTCGACCCCATTCCATGGCGCTGCCTTTTCACCCTGAGTTTTTTTCGCACAGCCCTGAGGCTGGACACCAGCTTCAAGAGGTCCAGAATGACGCAACATCGGCCGTCTCGATTTCTTCGTGACGCCGGACGTCTGGGTCTGTGGGTCAAACATCGATCCCCAGACCTGTCTTTGCGTGAATGCAGGTCGCAATTTCGAGGGGAATCCAGCAGTGGCGGCGAGAAGCTAAATCCTCTTCCCACGCGTTTCGGCAGGGTGGGCTGGGCGTTTTTTGCCCGAATCCCGCACTGTTTGTAATCCTAAGCTTGGCGATTTCACCAGTTACACAGATGGATGGCGACTGGTTTCTTAGATGCGGCCCTCGTCTCACCACCGCGCCCATGGTTTTAGATTGAGGATCCAACGTCATATGGATGGAGGAAGCACCGCTTCCAATTTGCCGCTTTCACCGCAGCGCCTCACGCACTGACCGGAAATAGCTTTCAGCAGGTGCACGCGTGGGGGACGGATTCCTTTTCAAAAAACGGTCTCTCGCTTGAGACTTTCTCGCATGTTGTGCCCAGAAGCCTAATTAAGCGCAGAAGCTGCCCTGTCTGATCTCGTTTTCTTTTTGCAGATGTGGCTCGCGCTCGAGACCTTCTCCAGCGTTGTGCCTGGATAGAATCAGGCGATCGCAAACATGGATCAAGGGGGCGTGGATTAGCGACGGGTCCCGTTTCCGTGGGTCATCGCGGATGTCCGCCGCCAAACGAAGCGGCACCGGTCGCATTTTGCGCACCAGATCCATGGATCGCTAATCCATGCTTGCGCGCCCCCGATCGAAGCTTGAGTGTATGTGCAGCAATTCCATGAACGGAGAATCGAGGGCTGTGCCCTGTCAAAGCGGGTCTCGCGCTGGACCACCGCCATGATTTTTGTGCTCCTGCCCCGTCGGGCTCCCTGTTGCCAGAAGAGAGTGGATGCGCTGCGTTCTCCAAGACGATGGCAGGCCAACCGGGGCGCTGGCTTTCCAGGCGGCACTTCTCGCAGCGAGAAGGACTTCTTCTAGGCATCTGTGTGGAGGGGATTTGGGTCCGGAGAGTGTCGTTTTTTTCCGCTGTGTGTGTGTGTGTGTGTGTGTGTGTATGTGTGTGTGTGTGTGTGTGAGTGTTTTTCCCAACCCTCGTCGGTTGCGTATTCGTTGTGCAAGAGCACTGCGGTCGCGGCTTCCGCCTCCTCCTCGTCCTCCCGCCTGCTGCCTCCCTCCTCCTTGTCTCCTCTTGCTTTTGCCTGCGGGGCTGCGATCTGCGAAACTGCCGCCTTTTTCGAGGGCTGCGGGCGGGGCCAGCGGAGTGAGGCACCGCGCAGACCGGAGCGAGACCTCGCCGTCCCTGGGTGGCTGCGATCTGCGAAACTGTCGCCACTTTCCAGGGCTGCTGGTGGGCTCGCCATTTTCGAAGGCTGCTGGTGGGTCCAGCGGAGTCCGTCCCTGGTGGGCCATGTCATGGTTTCAAGCCCCTTGGCCACAGTCTCCTTTTGGACCTTGCGTCTTCCTCAGTGACTCAGGGGTTCACTTGGTTACTCATTGTTTTTCCCTTGATGGGACCTGCGAACCTTCCGAATGTCGCTCGTTGCGTCCATGTCACGTCGCGCCTTCTCGTCAATCTCCCAAGATACTCCTGCCCTCAAGCATTTTTTTCTTTCTTCTTTTATGATTTTGTGTTTTGTTTTCATCTGGTGTTTTCCCATAGAGTGTCGTTCAGCATATGCATCTTGGGTCTACTCTGGTCATCCTCTGCCCCTCGCTTCTCCCTGCCCCATGTGCCCCCTTGTCCTCGTTGGGCAAGAGGAGAGCGGCTTGGAGGGTGGGTCAGCCTATCACCATGCACACACATTACAGGCGACCCCTGGTGGAGGGGGCAACGAGGGGGAAGAAAAAGGGAGATGAGGGAATATGAAGAGGGAGGGGGAGGCCTCTCCCCCATGCCCCTTTTGCCCGGTGTTGGAAGTCCCAATACGGTGCGGTGGCCACACCGTTGTGCGAGTCAGTGGGGTTGGCGGTGAGCGCGCAGTCTTGAGACTTCGGTCGCTCTCCGAGGAAGCCTCTGGCTACCGACGCCTCCGATGTCCCAAAACCCTGCCGTGATGGACCGGGCGGTGAGGTCTTTTTGGTATCTAGGTCGTCGTGCGGTCTGTCGCCACGCCGTTCTGTGCTCCCCGGCCCCCTCCGCGCCGCTCCTGCCGCCATGCCAGCTGCCGCCTTTTTTGGGCCTCCTCCGCGCCCCGCAGCCCCAGAGGTCTCGCGGACGCAGAACGGCCAGCGGATCAAAATCGGGCCTAACATCGACGAGCTGCAAGGCGGCCTTCCCTGCTCTCTTGCAACATCGCGCGTCACTCGGGGCATCTGTCAGTGCCGCTGGCAGTCGCGGGGGCTTTGCCGACCTCGGTGGTGCCGTCGCCGTTGGTCGGGAACCGAACTCTTTTCACCGACGCTTTTTCCAGCCCTGCATTGAAATGTGCACTGGAGAGCGGATCCTGGTGTATACATTTTTCGGTGTTTCCCCGGGACATATCACCCCAGCGTCGTCCCCGACCCTCAAAAAGTCCTGGGATTGAAAAACAGCCCGCCACTGGCTCTGTATAGGTGCGATTTTCCGAGTTGGCGTCGGAGGCGAGCTCGCTTTACAGCGGTGCGTCAGTCGCCTCTGATCGCGGCAGCGGAGGCAGGTCGCTGAAGAGGTGCGGGCTGATTCGGTTCTGCGATTCTGTTCTGCGGGGGCTGCTCTCAGCCCTGGGATCATGAGGAGGGATGAGAGGGCAGATGAGGAGGAATAGGAGGAGGGCGAGGAGATGGAGGTGGAGGAGGGGGGTTACGCAGTCACAGCCAGAAGTGTGCAGGGCGTATTTCTTTCCCTTTGCCCGTACTTCTTTTCGAGAGACCTCGACATGGGTTGGAAATCGATCTGATGAGGGACCGTAGTAAAAGCCAACATCAAATTAATGATTTTGGTATTCTCGCCTGGGCTGCCTGAGGCGTCTTGGGTGCGTCAGGGGGACCTCTTGGGGTGTCTTGGGTGCTTTTGGGGAGCCTCTTCTGGGCATCTTTGGGGCCTCCTGGGGGCCTCTTGGAGCGTCCTGGGCACCTCATGGGGCCGTCTTGGGGCACCATTAGGGGCCTCGGGGGCCATCTTGGGGCCATTTTAAACAAGATCGATTAACGGAGAGGGGCTCCTTAATTAGCGCCCCCCTCCCCGCAGGCCAACATGTGAAGTAAAATCAATGATTTGAGTCTTATCGCCGAGGCCTCTTGCGGCGTGGGGCCTTTTGGGGCCTCTTGGAGGTCTCTTGGGAGCCTCTTGGTTGTATCTTTGGGGCTTCTTGGGGCTTCCTGGGCACCTCTTAGATCCATTTTGGGGCACTCTTGGGAGCCTCGGGGGCAATCTTGGGGCCTTCTTCGAGGGGATCGATCAAAGTATGGGGGGCTCCGGGCTCCTCAGTTTGCGTTGCCTCCCCCTCGAGGCCAACATGTGGCTCAAGCATTCGTAAAATCAATTATTTTGACTTCCTCGCCGGGGCCATTTTGGGCGCTTTACTTGCTCGAGACCCCCGCTCCAAACCCAGGGGGAAGGGGGTGTGTATGGCGGAGGGACAGAGCCTTCCCCGCAGGGGAAGAAAGGGGTTGGAAGAGGAAATGCTCAAAACCACTCGCGCCCTAAAGGGCGAGTGGGACTTATAGACATGTTAGCCAGCATAGGCCTCAAGCAGTGTATTTCCAGTAATCTAGGTGGAGTCTCAGTGGAGCGGTTTGTGTGTGTGTGTGTGTGTGTGTTTGTGTTTGTGTTTGTGTTTGTGTTCGTGTTCGTGTTTGTGTTTGTGTGTGTGTGTGTGTGTTTGTGTGTGTGTGTGTGCGTGTGTGGGGCGCGTTTGGGCAGCCTCCGTGGGGTGCCTTCGTGGCCCTGGGCGCGCGACTTCGGTGTCATTTCCTCTGGACTGTGGCCTCGGGGGCGGGCGGCACTTGCCAGGGGTGGTGGTGGTGGTGGTGGTGGTGGTGGTGGCGGTGTGTAGCTGCCTTCTGTTGACGAACGGCGGCGGCGACGGCGCCGACGGCGACGAACGGCGGCGGCGGCACGCCCCGCCAGGCTGCACGCTGGAGCTGCCGCTGCTCGAGGGGCCCCAGGGCCAGCCCGTGGCGAGCCCGCAGCTCGGGACCGTGGGCGCGCCCACGGAGCCGCGGGCTGAGCTGTGTCCTTGTCGCGGCGCTCCCCGCCGCTCTCGCCAGTGTCCATTTTAGGGGGCCACAAGTGAACCCTACCCCTACCCCCCACGACTTCTGAGGGGGAGGGTGGGGTTCACTTCGTTCGGGAGCTCCCAAACGAAGTGAACCCCACCGTCCCCTCAGACGTCGTGGGGGGTAGGGGTAGGGTTCACATGTGGCCCCCTACATTTCGATTTGGCCCATCCTGTTCGATACAGCATTCTGTTGGATGTGTCTCTCAAGCTTCTCAAGCTCGCCGCCGCCTCAAGCGGTGTGCGTTCAGAGCAGGAACGCAGTAAAGCTAAAGGAAAACGTGGCATTGGCAGTGTAGCTCCACACACGTGTCAAATGATCCAGCGAGCAAGAAGACAGCAAAGCCCCAGGACAGCGAGTCACTGACAGTGTAGCTCAGCATCAATACAAAGGCCAGGGAGCCCCGCGAAGATGATCGCGCTTCGTGCGCCGCGGCCTAGGCCAGAGAGCTGCCCTTCTCCAGTGCGGCCTCGCGAGGGCGCGAAGATACCCACGCGTCGCACACCGCGGGGGGCGATGCGCGAAGTTAGGTGACCTAGACTGCAATATCGATTCTGGCTGGTCCGATCCGGTCCGATCGCGATCTTCCCCGATCCAGTGCCGCCTGGTGTCTGCATTGCGCTGCTGTGCATCATGGCGCGGCTGGTCCCAGTCGGTTCCGGCTCCATGCTGTGGCTCGATCTGACGTGTTGGTCCGATCCGATTTCCCGATTCGATGCTGGCTGGCCCTGCCCTTCTCCTTGCCGTGAATTATTCATAGGTTGTTCCGCCGTTTTCCGCTGGTGTCCCTCAGTGGGGCCGTGGGAGGGCTCTTTCTCCGCGGCGCGTGGCACAGATCTAGCGCACGCTTTTTAACGGTAGCTCCGCTGTCAGGCACGCCGTGGGGCTCATCCTGGATTGCAAGCGTTCCTGTCCGTTTCGTTCCTCCTCGTCGTCGTCGTCGTGTTCGTCGTCGTCGTCGTCGTCGTCGTCGTCGTCGTTGTCGTTGTCCTCGTCGTCTTGCTCCTGCTCCCCCAGGTCCCTGACCAAAAACTGCGATCGAGGGTCCTTGGCCGCTTCAGGCCTCCGTGGAGCGCCCTCGCACGAAGCGGCTCGGGACACCTGCGGGCTGCCCAGGAAAGGCACTCTTGGAGGCACCTGCGGGCTTCCCAGGAGAGGCTCTTGGACAGGAAGTCGGCATCGAGCGAGGGGGAGAAGTTGGAAGGAGAGGGCCTTCTCAGAAGGCGGAGGTACTTCTCAGAAGCCCTCGCACTTTCTGAGAAGCTTTCCGCGTCTTCGGGGAAGGCTACGAAAGCTTCTCAGAAGGCAGGGGGACTTCCGAGCCTTCTGAGAAGGTCTTCTCCTTCTCACTTCCCCCCCGTGCTCGCCGCCGAGAATCGGCCTTGCTGTCCCCCCCCCTCGCTGCCCTGTGGCGGCCGAGGCCGTGCAGCCTGGCAGCCCTGGCCGCCACGCGCCGCCAGATTGAGGCGGGGCGCTCGCCCGGGGTCCGCCTCCAGCTGGGGAGGAGCAGGAGTTGCAGGAGGCCGGGGGGTGGGGGCGAGGGAGGGGGGAGGGAGACGATGGATGGGAGGGGAGGGCCATCTCGGGGGCCTCTGGCCGGCTCCGGGGGCCGTTTCCACGCACCGGCCCCGGGGGAGGGGTCGAGGAGGGGGCCAACGGATCGCAAACATCACCGCGCCGGGGGTCTGGGGCTCGCGCGATCTCTCTCTTCCTCCTCGGCGGCCCTTCTGCGCCGCCCCTCGCCATGGGGCAGAAGGCCACGGCCACGGCCCTCGCCCAAAAACCTCAGGCGGATGCCCGCCTTGAAGCTCTCCGATTCCGCTTCCGAGTCGGCGAAGTGCGCAAGAGTCCCCATGTGGGGTCGTCGACAGCGGCAGAGTCGTCGCCCGTCGTCCTCTAGTCTTCCTCTGGCCAGGGGGGAGAACACAGACACAAATAATAAACCGCCGATCCCCAGGAAATCTGGAAATATGGATAAATATTGGAAGTGGAGGGGAAGACTAAAATCCAGGACCTGTGGAAAAATATGGGGAATCCTTGGATTTGTGTCTATACTTGTTTGTGCGTCCCTGGTCCCGTTTATCTGGGTTTTCCAGGTTCTGGGCTTTTTTTTGGGGGGGGGCAGGGTCGTGGGGCTGGCCTTCCACGAAGGCCCCCTGCCTCCCAGGAAGGCGTGTGGAGGGGGCGGGGCACGTGGCTCTCGAAGGGCGGCCTCTGATGGCCGCCCTGCCCCCGTCAGCGCGCCGCCAACCTCTGGCTGTTCTCTTAGGCAGGCTGAGGGGGAGGCGCCTCCGCCTCCTCCTCATCAGCCCTCCTCCTCCTTCTCCTCGTATTCGCGCTTCCTCCTCCTCCTCCTTCTCCTCCTCCTCCTCCTCCTCCTTCTCCTCCTCCTCCTCCTCCTTCTCCTCCTCCTCCTCCTCCTTCTCCTTCTCACCCTCCTCCTCCTCCTCCTCCGCCTCCTTGTCCTCCTACTCCTCCTCCTCCTACCTTCGCCTCCTCCTCCGCCTCCTCCTCCTCTCCTCCTCCTCCTCCTCCTCCTCCTCCTCCTCCTCCTCCTCCTCCTCCTCCTCCCCTTCTCTCCCCTCCTCCTCCTCCTCCTCCTCCTCCTCCTCCCTCCTCTCCTCTCCTCCTCCTCCTCCTCCTCCTCCCCCTCCTCCTCCTCCTCCTCCTCCTCCTCCTTCTCCTCCTTCTCCTCCTCCTCCTCCTCCTCCTCCCTTCATCCTCCTCCTGCTCCTCTGGCGCTTCCCGGCCCACCCCACAGGCGATCCTCGAACAGGTGCCGAGGGCCACGACACAGACCTTGCGGTGCAAGGAGGACTGGACCACCTCCTGGGTGCCAGGCGTCGCCGCAGAAGAGCAGGAGGACCAGGAAGCGGGGCGGGGCGCTCGGGGAGCATGAGCAGGAGGCGGAGGCGGAGCAGGAGGGGAGGGCGGAGGCTGGGACGAGGAGCCGGGGTAGGGGCAGCGCACTCGCCTTGCTCTTCCTCTCCTCCTCTCCGAGCTGCCCTCTCGCTGGCAGCACCTGCCGCGGCCCTGGGCTGGAGCGGCCGCCCAGCGCTGCGCCGCGCTCTGCCGCGCGGCCGACTGCCGGCTCGCCGTGGACGACCTCCTCGCCGTGGCCATCCGCCCGCAGCGCGCTGCGCCTGGAGAGGCGAGACGCAGGGGCGCGGCGGAAGACTGCGAAGCCTGCCCGACCCCGCGGTCGCCCCCCCTGAGATCCGGGCGCTGCAGTGCAGTTTCTTCACGCCAGGCGTTTTCGCCCCGTGTCGGGCCCCAGGGCCATCACGGATCGATCTGGCTCGAACAGTGCCGCAGACGTGCGGTGTGAGGCCTGGGGCTCCGGTCGTGATTTTTCGCGGTGTTGAGATTTTTCTCGCAACGTCGGATCTCAGGGCTTGGCCCCGCTGCCAGAGCACGGCCTTCCTCGACCACAGGTCGGTGTCTGGGCGCCCCGCGGGGCGCGCGAGAGGCCAGCCAGAGCGGGGCTGGGTCGCCAAACCACACAGCAGACCACCGGGCAGCCCTGCGCTGCCATGCCAGCCCCAAGGACGTCGACCTGCAGAGCTTGAGCAATGTGCGTTCTTGCTGTGGCAGCTTCGGCCCACGGGAATGTAACATCCACGCGTCCGGTTTCACGGTCTTCGCTGTCAGGTGGCGGGGGTTGTCCAGCGCTGGCCGACCTGGTTGCTCGATGTCAGAATCCAGTGTCCCCGTCCACGCGCCATCGACCAATCGTGCCTCCCCTCTTGCTCCCAGGGAAGAGGGGCAGTAGCAGGAGGAGGAGGAGGAGGAGGGTAACGACGACAAGGATCAGAGCGGAACGGGGCCGCCTCGGACTGCCGCTGAGCAAATTGCACCCGCGCGGGTTCGTGGTCAGAGGTGTCCGCGGATTTTTGTCAGTTCGGCTGTGTTGCAGTCGGCTGCGTTCGGATGGTTCGGATCGGTCGGTTGTCGTGTCGGTGCCGCGTCGCTGCGCCCTTCTGGGCAGTTTGCGGCCTGTCGGTTTCCGTCGGTCTCGGTTTCGCCGTCGCTGGAGAGGACCATGGTGGTGTGCTCGTGGCAGTTGGTGGTGATGTTTATGATTTTCTGATGACGGCGGCTCCTACAGGCGCGGCTAGGGCAGTGGCCACGAGCTTGGTTGTACGGGACGCCTCGTGTCGTTTCGAAGACCCGCCGCAGAGAAAGGGGCTTCTAGAGTGGTCGAAGGAACCAGCAAGGTATTCCTCGCTAGGACGCTGCGTTAGCGTTGGAGCTGTTCAGGTGCCGCTTGCCCGAGCACGTGCTCAGGCACTCCAGGTCATTCGCTGGTAATTGGGCGCCTACTCTTTCGCATGTCTTCTTGGGAGCCCCTGTTTGCAAGTGCCTGCTCTTCAACCTCGCCGTTGCGGGTCTTATACATTATATGTATACATAGAATCCTGCTTCCTGTTTGTCGCAAATTTCAGGACTAGCCTGTGTGCGAGCTTTGGGTGCGAGCTTTGGGTGCGCACGCGGAACATCAGGCTGGCCCAGAGCTGCGGCATTCCGTTCGGAGGCATACCGCGTTGTGAGTGTTATGCGCGTGCTCCGCGTGGGGCCTCGAAATGTATCCTTGCACGGCCGTCGGTGTTGCAACATTTCGGTGCGCCTCCGTGTGGACCCCCGCTGGTGCACTGACGGTTGGACTCGTCGGACTTTCTGCTTCACGAGTGCACTCGTGCCCATCGCCCTACAAGCTCATGATCCGTCGGCCGAGCAGTGTCCGTCGCCCTGCATTGGAAGCGTGCGCGCGTGTGGGCCCTTCGCGCCCCACCATGCCCAGAGCGTGTTCCAGCCGCTCGCACGGGGTGAAGTGCGCCCTCGGCGGAGCGGTCCTCCGCCCTCTGCCCTCCCGGCGGTGCCCAGCGATTCCGTGGGGTGGAGAAGCCTACACTTGGCCCGGCAGCGTGGGGGCAATGCTGCATACCGCAGCCGTGCGGAAGCGGAGCACGCCGCGTTCTGCGAGCGTGTTCGTAGGGGGACGCTTGCATTTTGTGTGGAGTGGTTGTTCAGTGTGGCGGGCGCGCGGTGTGCAAAGATGGCCAAGGTCGGCTGCGTGCCCAGGAGGGCTGCGAGAAGGTGTAGGCCTTCTCAGAAGGCGGCGGGGCTTATCAGAAGTTCTCGCGCCTTCCGAGAAGCCGTCTCTGTCTACGGACAAGGCTCAGAAACCTTCCCAGAAGGATAGAGGCCTTCCGAGCTTTCTGAGACGGCCCGCCCACTCTGCATTCCCCCCTGGGCTCGTCGCCGACAGACACGGAGTGTCTGCTCTCGAGCGGGCTGTTGGGTTGGTAGATAGGGAAGTGTTTGGTGAAGGCCCGTGATGCAGACATGCTTTGCATCGTGGGTGTTGTCTGCGGCGTGTAGAGAAAGGCTACGCTTCTCCGCGGATCAAAGCAATGCGCAGCAAGCGGACGCCCAGGCTTCATCAAGTTGGCAGGGGAGGGAGAGCGAATTTTCCTGAGCTGCTGGGGCAGGGTTCGGATTTCGCCGTGCCCGCCCACACCCTTCGTGGTTGGGGGCGCTCCTGATCGAAGGGGCCGCTTGCGTTTTTGTGTTCTACGGCGCATGATGTGCCCTCTAGTGCCGATGGCACTGGGGGGTCTCCTTTCGTTTCTGCTGCTCCGAATCTTGTGCTCGTTCAGTCCCGGCAAGTCGCCTGGCGGGGTTGTCAACTCCGCGCCACTGTCTTTGATTCTGCTCCCCGCTGGTTCGCGAGGGTGATCGGTCATTTTTCTGCGGGCACCGAGCTGATCGAGCCAGTGCTTAGGATCTCGTGGCGACGCTGTGCGCTGACCCCCTCCTTCCGGCACTTCGCCGACGGCTCGGTCTGCTGCCGTCGTGCTTTGTTGTTGTGCGCTTGCGCCCCGCTCCTGCCTCGCGGCCGACACTGCCGCGCTGGGCACTGCTGTGCCCACTGCTGCCCTCGGCCTGGCCCCGGGCACCGGCTTCTTCTGGCGTCGCGGCCGCGCTCGCAGCAGCACAGCGGGTTCGGGCCCAAACCGAACAAGGCGAGCGGGCGAAGGCCAGCTTAGAAGCAGCAAGGGCGTGCCGGGTCCGCCCGAGGGGGACCGCGCAGCAGGACTCGCGGGGAGAGCTGCGAGGAGGTTGACCTGGGTGGGGGGAGGGGAAGCGCAGTGAGAGAAGAAGGTGAGGCGGCAGCTGGCTTGCCGAGGCGCGCTGAGAGCGCAGAGGCGGACACTTGTATGGGGTGGGCAGGCGTGGGACAGGTCAACGGAGGGCGGATTGGGGCGGTCAGGGCGCGTGAGCGTCGAGGGGAGGCAGGGGTCAGTTAATGCAGGCGCGCCTGTGTGGGAAGAGACAGCGCCTAGCTTTTAGCGGAAAAGGTTCGCTCTCGCCCCGCAGATCCAAAAAACAAAAAAAACAGTGTGGGAAGAGAGCGGTTATGAGGCCAGTGTGACGCTTCGTGGGCAGCGGCTGGGAGGGAAAACGGGCGCGTTGCGTGGGGCGCCGGGGGCCCCGCACGGCAGCGACCGCGTCAAGAGGCAGGGGTGCCGTCCTGGCGACGCGTCGCGGAGACATCCACTGGCTTCCCAGGGGGCCGCGGGGGAGACCCTGGTCATCCTGCTTGGGCTGGGGCACGTCGTGTCAGTCCAGCACGCGCTGCGTGGGGTTTGAGAGCGCCGGGCGGTCCGTCCTCGTAAAGTTTGGCGCTCCCGAGAACGTGGTCGAGGTGCCCTGCCTCGTCCGCCGGTGCAGCTGGGGAGGCGGCTAGGCAAAGTGGGCGCCGCGTCCTGGCATGGGGGTCTCGCCCTGGTTGGTGCCCAGCGGGGTTGCTAGCGGCCGAGTCCGAGGACTGCCGAGCGAGGTGGCGGGGGTCGTGCTCGCGTGGGTGGGCGGGCCTGGGTGGGGGGACCCATCCGCCAGGGTGTAGCAGTGCAGCCAGCCGAGCTTAGAAGGGAGGGGACCCACCTGCAATCCCGGCGCGGCTGCGCGGGCGGTGTGTGGGGGTGGGCGAGTTCTTATAGTTTTTTTTTTTTTTTTTTTTTTCTTCTTCTTTTCTTTTCTTTTCTTTTCTTTTTTCTTTCTTTTTTTTTTACTGCGCTGGCCGGGCGTCCGGCGCTCTGAGCAGTGCACTCTCAGCGAGGATTCGCGCCAGAGCTGCAAACTAAGTACGATGTTGCCGACCCCGCCGCGTTGCCCAGAACGCGCGAGCGCGTGCGCGGGGGCGCGAGCTCGAGGGAGCACATTTGTGCGTTGTCATAGGGGGCGGTGGGCGTGAGGGTACCCACGTCGCAGCACGCCAGGGTAACGTACCGGCAAAAACAAAGTTCTTTCCCAGATCTTTGTGGGTTGGTCGAAGGTGCTGGAAGGGTTTGGTTCCCTCGCCCGCTTCGGTTGCAAAATCGAAAACCTGAAAGCGAGGCGACTGCCAGGACCAGCGCCGCCTGTGGGTCCGGCCCCCAGCTCGTGCCTAGCAGCGCCTCGACTGACCAGGCCTTTTTTTTGGTGGGGGGCTTCACATCCCCGCTGTGGGTGTACACCAGCCAGAGCCAGCAGCAGGCGCAGTACCATTTACGGTGTGATGTCGAGGGCGCTGCAAGTTTACAACAGACGGCGACCGCATGAGGCAGCACCCCGCCCTCTCCGACAGGACCACACTTGCATCCAGCATCCAGCATCCAGCGGCGATCTGCGCGCCAAAGCGCTGATCTGCAGACGTCGACGGTGCTCCAGAGGCGGGACAATGGCGGCGGCGGGGGGG